ATGCCAGGACTTTCTTCCCCGGGTACTTCTCGGTGGACCAGAAGCCTTTCGGTTGCTGTTGGAAACAGCTGGCGGCACAGAGGTCCCATGTGGGGCTGACAATCCCACGGTCAGCTGTTCTAAACCACCAGCTGCTGAGGGAGAGAGAGGAGGGCTTCTACTCCCGTGAAGCGTCAGTCTCGGAGACCCACGGGGCCAGCTCTACCCTGGCCTCTGGGGTTGATGCCAGTCGAAATCAACTGGATGCGAGGGGGGAAGGGGCTCCCAGACACAACCAACCAAACTTCAAAGTCACTGCCCTTGAGTCGGGTCTGCCTCCTAGCGAGCCTGTGACCCTTTGAGGCTGTAACTCCTGATGGGAGCAGACAGCCTCATCTTTCTCCCAAGGAGCAGTTAGTGGTTTCAAACGGCTGACCCTGTGGTTCGAAGCCCAACATCTGACCTACTGCTTGACACCAGGGTTCTCTCTAGACCCAATGGCCATGCAGAACTGGCCCGGACCCCAAATAGCAGGGGCTGCAGGTTTCGGTGGGAGGGGGAGCCTACCCTGGCAGGAGGCCTGCCTATGTGTTGTCAGGAGCACAGTGGAGGGCACAGCGCCTGACGTGCTGGAAAACTGAGGCAGGGCTTCAAGGAAGTCCAACCGGCAGCTCCCATCCCCAGTCTCCCCTGATGGAGGAGTTAAGACTGTTTAACATGCTCTTCCGTTCAGAAGACAAGCATCAAATCCACGGCCCTGCCTGAGCCCTTGTGGAAATCCCACAGGCACAGACACGTCTGCCCCCTAGAGGGGGGGCTGGAGTACTGCAGGCTGAGGGTGGTCCTGCAGCTCCCTGGCCACTGAAACCCCAGTGGGGGGACCACCCATGACACCACCATCCTCTGTTTGGATTAGCCTGGCCTCCTGCTGTCCCCACGCCCCAGCAAGCAAAGAGGGGCCAGATCCGTCTTGGACTAGCTGGCCCTTTCAAAGAAGTGACCCCGGGACTCCACTTCCCCATCTATCAAACGCAGTGCCCAAGGGTTGGCAGGATTATGCTGTCATGGGTGGACAGTGTGTGGTGCCCACAGTGCTGTTGGGGATGGAGCCCCCACAGGCGAGGGAGAGGGGCTCAGCACCATTCAGTTCCCTCCACCCTGCCCGTTGCCGCATCAGTAGAACACACCTGAAAACCAAGGCCAATCCCACGGACCCCAGCTGCTGAGCATCAGAGAGAGGCTGCGGGGACAGCTCAGGGGAGCTGAGAACAGAGAGGCGGCCTTTGAAAACCACAATCAGCCATCTGCAGGGGAGTGGGCTTGAGAGGAGGGACAGCGAGGCGGACGCCGCGGCCCTGTGGCGTTCATGGGGCACCCAGCAGTCGGGGCACTTGCTGGCTTCTTGCCAGCTTGACTGGGAGCATCCGCTTCTCCAGGATAAGGACTTTTGCCCACGGCGGTAGCCCTAGTACCTTGTGCCAGGACCCAGGAGGCCCAAACCCCCCTGCCTTATTGTCAACCCTGACTCAGAACGACCCGAGGACAGGTGGTTTCCAAGACCATCCATCTTTCGGGGAGCAGACAGCCTCATCTTTCTCCCTCGGAGTGGCTAGAGGATTCGAACTGCTGTCCTGGCTGTCAGCTCAGAATGTAACCCCTATGGAGGCAAGGCAGCATGGTTCACACCACTGTCCCATTTTACCGATGAGGGAGCCTGAGACCCTTAGCTGCTGCGAGGTGGTGAGGGCAGAGTGGCCAGGTCTCTGACGACAGAGCATGTGTGCCTTCTCCTCTGAGGCTGGTCTGCAGCAGAACCAGCATGGGGCCCTGGGTGGGAGGAACCTGCTTCACGTTGGTCTGGACACAGGAAGTCGTGGTGACCACAGGGCCGAGTGCACAGCAGGTGCTCCAGAAACACCTGGATGGATGGGTGGATGGATGGAGCAGGGGATAGATGGGGAGTGGCTATCAAGTGATCAGACAGACTGCTGGGCAGATAGATGGACCCAGAACGGGTGGGTGGTGGGTGGCAGAGAACTCACACCAAGAAGCACAGCCAAGGGCCATGGCCCCTCCTTTAATGGTGGCAAGGGCTGCCCAGGGGGAAGACGGGCTGAGGGCCAGGCACAGGGGCTGGCACGCTGCTGCCCTGGGAATGGGGGGACACTTGGGCCCCCGGGCACGCTTTGGTTTCGGTTTCAGGTTTCCTCTTCTCGGAAGCAGCCCAGGAGAAGAAATGGGGGAGGCAGGGGTCACATCCCCAAGGAGCAGAGGGGCTGGGGCCTGGCGAGGAGGTCCAGGGCGATGGGCTGTGGCCACTCTGCAGCCAGCCAGGGGCCTCCGTGCCCCTCTCGGGTCCTGGAAGTTGGGGCCCCAGAGGCAGGAGCGAGCCAGCGAGAAGCAGAGGGCGATCAGAGATGTCCGGTGGCAGGGACAGCCTTTGCCCAGATCAGGGGAGAAGGTGTCAGTACTGGGCCCCCTGGGGGCATGCCCACCCTGCAGGGAGGCCACCCAGAGGCAACAGTGAACCCGGCAGGTAACGCTGGGGCATAGCAGGGAGGCGGGCCCTGAGGTGTGGCGGGCGGCGGCAGGAGGCAGCAGAGTGGGCTCAGTCCCACCCGAACTCCACGGGCGAGAACTTCCAGAGGTCAGGCTGACCCATGTGCAGCAGGTTGTGGAAGGGCGACGAGCTCCACTGGAATGGGGGCAGCTGGTCCCACGTGGGCCCGCTTACCGCCCACAGGCGCAGGGACTTGGCCAGGCCCGAGCTGGTCACCTGGGGGGCAGGGTGGAGGAGGCAGCTCAGCGCCCCGCTCAGGTGGGCTGGTCTCCAGGCCCAGCCTCCGTGCCCCGCCCTGCCCCACCCTGCCCGTGCGTGCGGGTCAGACCTTGGCGTCGATGCCCCCGTGGGAGCGCTGGCGCAGCGCCTGGAAGGGGTAGGAGCCGTTGGTGGGGTTGAGGTCCGAGCGGGCCGAGATGGCGTTCTCAGCGTTGGGCTGGGGGCGGCAGGCGCTGCACAGGGACAGCGGGTCGTGGAGAAAGTCGTTGTACCTGGAGGGGCCATGGGCACATCGTTCGGTCACTCTGGGCTGGGAGAGGCCTGCTGCCCCACCACAGGCTTCTGCTCCCCGTTCCCCTCTCCCGGGAGCCCCTCCTCAGTGCTGTCACCACCAGGCCCTTCCACACCACGCAGGTCTCCGTCCTGGCCAACCGAGGGCCCGACTTCCTCCCTGGGGACCCCACAGTCCCTGGGCGCCCATCTGTCCTGCCTGGCGTGAGCACTCAGCGGGCTCCTGCCCACCCTCCTGCTGTCCTGGTGGCTAAACCCAGGGTGTCCGCTTCAGGGCCCTGAAGGTGCAGAAGGCCCCAGGAGAGCCACTGACTCCTGGCTCGGCGTCCCCTCTGCTCTCACCGAATGAGCTGCATCATAGACTCCATATCGTGCACCTGGGACTGGTTCCGCCGGAAGATCTGGGCCCTCGGACTCTTGTCGTAGGAGAACCAGTCCCCGTAGCGGGTCACCAGCGCCTGCAGCCCACTAGCATTGAAGACGGCCTCAAAGGACCTGCTAGGGACAAGCCTGGTCACCCAGGAAGCCCATGGCCACAGCCAGCCGGGCCAGAGCATCATCTCGGGATGCTGGTCTGAACCACCGCAGTTGAGATAACAAGGCCTTTTGTTTGGGCTCAGAGGGGGGTGGGGGTCAGGGTGGCCCTGCTCCAGCTCTGGGGGCCGACACAGCTTCACCCCTGGCCATCAGGAGAGGGGGCGACCTCGCCTGACCTCAGTTTGCTCATCTGTGAAATGGGGCCGTCAGCGTAGCTGCTGGGCAGGGTGGTGGCTGGAATGTAGGGCTCCAATGGGGTCACACAGTCAGCTAATAGGCATGGCTAGAGAACCAGGGCAGGGTCAGCAGCTGGGCCTGATCATGCCTCCACAACCCGTAGGGGCAGGAAGCAGGTGGGCCACACAGCTGCACTCCCAGGCCTTTCCTGGTGGAGAGGGGTGGGGAGGGGAAGGTTGCTCTGCCCAGCACGGTGAGCCAAGCAAGGGGCCAGGCAGGGGTAGGGGGAGTGGGGGAGTAGGGGGCCACGTACGGCAGGTTGTAGCTGGCCCAGTAGGTCTTCTTATAGAGTTCCGTGGTCTTGTCGGCCACCACCACCATGCCCCTGGGACAAGAAGTGAGGTGGGCAGAGAAGGGTTTCCTGTGGGCCCTGGCCTGCTTAAGGACCCCCAGTGGCTCCCCACTGCCTGGGGGATGCGGGAGGTCTTGAATCTTCAGCCCCAGTCCTTGGTCCTGCCCACATGGGGTTGCCGCCCCTCCCCACATTGCCGAGACGCTGCCCTCCGCCTGCCTCGGGGACTCACGGAATCTGTTCCAGGATGGTGAGCACCCTGCTCCCTGGGTTGGACTCGCCGGGGACAAACGCCTTGTAGTCCACGATCATCCACTGGTTGTTGTACCTGCCGCGCCCGAGGAGAAAGGGCTTGAAGGAGCCGGGGCCCATGGACCCAGCCTACTCTGGCCCAGGGCCCACACAGCCCAGGCTCGTGGGGCAGAGAGCGCCAGGGCGTCATCCTGAACAGGCCTCCCATCGTGCAGCTCACCTGCTCTAGAATATTCTATGGCTCCTAGTGCTTATCAGAGCACAGGCCAGTTCCCCCACCTGGTGAGCTCTAGACCACCACTACCCACCCGGCCCAACCTCTCTGGTTCCCAGCCCCCTCCCCCGAGCCCCCAGGTCCACATTCCCCTCCTGTCTCCCCTCCAGCTGGCCTCTCCAGGGGCTAAACGCCTAGAGGGGAGGGCAAACCCTTCCCTCCCCAGAAATAAAACAAGGGAGGGGACTCTCCCGAGAGCAGCACCTGCAGAAGGGGAGGGGCCCTGGCCCCACCCCCGCACCCCCAGGGTCTGCGAGTTAAAGGGCAAGTGAACCCATTTCTTCAGGAGCCCCCGGCAGGGAGCCAGCCCAGCACCCTAAACTGGAAGACCCGGGGCTCGAACCCGCCAGCTGCTGCTCCTCCGGGGAGGGAGGTGATGGGGCAGGGGGTCCCCCTCTGTCCTCTCGGGCTGCCGTGAGTGGGGACAGACTCAGGGGCAGCGGGGCTGGCTTGGGGAAATGCCGTTCATTCCCTGGGCTGGGGGGCGGGCGGGGTGGGGAGGCCCACTCACGTGCCGCTGTTGAACTTCTTGAAGACATCGGCCCACGTGGCCCCGTCCAGGGCCAGGCGGTTGGCCACCACGCTGCGCAGCCACTCCAGCACGCTGCCCCCAGGCCGCACGTACTTCCACAGCACGGGGTTGCTGTTGCCGATGGTGGTCTCCAGTGTCACCTGCAGGGTGTGAGGGGGATGTCCGGGCCACTGAGGGGTCGCTGCTACCAAGGGGCAGGGCCTAGGGTACCTCTGAGGAGTCTGGGGTGCGGAAGGGTTCTCGATACTGCGAGGATATGATGCCCTTCACAGACAGTGGACTGATGCCCCTCAACCTGTTTGGAAACGACCGATCTGTGTCACAGGGCACGCTGTCAGCGGGGTTCACTTAAGACAGCCATGCCAGCCACAGCTGGCCAGGGACCCAGGAGCCCCCGTCCCGACTCTGCCCAGACAGTGAGGTACGCGCTGAGCAGTGTCGCGCCATCCCAGGGGAGGGACATAGGTCTGGCCGGGTGAGTCCCGGAAGCAGAGCGCCAGGTCTTTCTTCCTACCCCCTCTTCATCTGGACGCACCATGGAGGCCTTGCTCAGCACTGCAGCAGGACAAGGGCCTCCAGGGGCAGGCAAGTGCTGGCCGGGCATCTGGCAGGCCAAGCCAGGGCATGGACAGAGAAGGGCAGAGTCCGACCCCCCGCAGTCCTGCGGTCACACCCACCCTCACTGCCATCGGGTTGGTCCCGACTCACAGCGACTCCACAGGACAGAGAAGACCCGCCCCTGGGGGTGCCCACGGGGCTGTCAGTCTTTGTGGGAGCAGACGGCCTCATTCTTCTCCCACGGAGCGCCTGGTGGGGTCACCTGGTGACCCTGAAGTCAGCAGCCCCATGTGTAACCCACTAACCCCAAGGCTTCCCTTTGCACATCAAGAGGGGATCAAAGGCCTTGGTCCCCTGGAAAAGTTAAGAGAAAATAAAGGGCGGGGGGGCTGAGGTGGCACCAGAGCAGCCTCTGCCCAGTGGGTCTGTCTTGAAGCCATATGCTCCCCCTGCAGTTGTTGCCCTGGTGATGGTGGGGCTCGCTGGCCGGGTGCTGGAGGAAGCTCTCTAAGGGAGCTTGGGCCCCGGCCAGGGAAGAGAGAAGAGGGACACACGGTACACAGTATTGATCCCGCCGGCCGGAGCAGGTGAGGGGCTACACGGAAAGGGAGAGGGGGCAGTGCATCTTAAACTCAGTGACACGATGGGGCATCCGTTGCCGGAGCCTCCACGGCCGTGGGCATTCGCTCCACAAAGGTCCCCAGCACCAGCTATTCCTGAGGGGCTGGGTCGCAGGGAAGAGGTCCAGGCTGGCTTTGAGGAGACTGAGGAGCCACCTGGTGACAGTGTGGGATCTGCACAGGGCTGATCATGGCCAGGTCGGCAGTTCAAAGCCACCAGCTGCTCCTCGGGAGAAAGGTGAGGCTGCCTGCGTTGTAAAGCTTTACGGTCTTGGAGAACCGGAAAAGGGCAGCCCTGCGTCGGAAGCAACTCACCGGTAGTGGGTCTGGGTTTCCCATTGCAGAGACTGGGACTGGGAATCCAAATTGCAAGCTCCCAGCACCCCTCAGAAGGACCAACTCAGCTGGGTATGATAGGGCCGGAGGGGTGGTCAAGCCCTGCCTGAAGCTTTCGCTCAGTCCCTGCTGGCCACTGAGGGGAGGGCGGTGGCGTACTCACCAGCCTGCTGCTCAGAATGTAGAAGTCGTCACAGGAGAAGAGGGTGCCCGGGTAGGAAGAAAAGATGAGCTTGTTGCCTGGAATCAGCAGGGAGTCATCTGGCGGGGGTGAGGGTGGGGAGCACAGGGGAGGCTGGTCAGGCGCCGTCCCCCTCTGTGGCAGTTATATAATCTGTTGTCAATTTGAGAGGATTACGAGTGTAGGAGTGGAGTCTAGCCTGTCAATCAGATCACAGCCAATGAGGCCTCTGTGTGGGCATGGCCTTCTCCTGAGGATTCTGGGAACTCCTGTCTTCCTCCCTGGAGGTGGGACACACACTCTCTGCTTTGTCTTCCTGCTGACAAGGCACATGGAGCTATGCTGATGAAGCCAGAGGTCTGGAGTTGGAGAAGCCACTTGGAGATCCAT